GGATTAATAAGGGGTTTTGGGCCCATGGAGGGGGGGGGGGGGAATGTACTGGATTTGTACACCCTATGCTTTATTCCATCTCTTTCCTACCTTTGTCCATGCCTGGTACTCACCAAGGTAATGGTGTTACTCTCCCTTCCAAGGGCTGCATGTAACTGCATTACAGCCTTCTGAAATGTGAGAGCTGAAAGCTCCCAGTAGCTTTAATAGCAGCAGTAGAAATTTAACACATCTGTAAATCAGGCCCATGTGGCCTCCACTTAATCATATAAATGTAATGTTCATTTAGAAAAATTTAGACTTTTATGAAAAGCTGAGAGGAAGTGTGAGAAAGCTCAGGTCCCTTCTGAATTCCCAGCTTCCAGTTCTGTTCTCAGGCCACAGGATATTGCTGCCTTTTAAATGAACTCTTTTCACATAAGCTAACACAGAACACACTGACTTGTGTGAGCTAATGCAAATCTTTTATACAAGAATAGTTTGTTTGATATGTGCTCCATAAGTAAAATCCTAGAAGTATTGTGCAGATTTATTCCTTGAGGAAGCTGAGGGGAAAATTCTTCCCCTTTCGTCCAGCCAAGCCACAGGAGCTCAGAGATAATGCTTCAGCTGGAAAAGCAATTTAGGTATTTTTAATATTTGAACATTGAAAATATGCTGTAAGTTTTGCTTATAGACAAGTCTTGCACAGAACAACACATACTGACTACTCACAGTTGTGTACTAGCCAGTACCATGAAAGAAAGCAGTACAGTTCCATAAATAGCGTTATTGATGGCTTTACTGAGCTTTGTATTTGAGCACCAATATGGTGATTGTTAAAAGAGAAGCTGTCATCAGTCGTCAGACCTGTTACATGAATAGACACTGAATGATAATGTGTAGTTTTTTCAACGATCAGTTATGATTTAAATGAGCAATGTGGACCTGTGAATATATGCACATTTCCAAGTAATTTCTCTCTGGAACAACAACATTTATCATAAATTGCTTTATGACTGCAAGGTAAAAAATATACAGCATCTCCTAGGCTTTGTTTTTAAGTTAACAGGGTGAAAATGCTTAAATCACAGCACGGAGGAGGGGATTTCCAAGTAAACAGGAAACAATTTTTGGAAGATTATTAAACACAGCAGGGGAATCAACACATTCCTCCTCTTCCATTTAATTTTGAAAAATACTGGTAATAGAGATGAATCATTCAGTGGAGACAAACTAAAAACTTGGCCACGTGAACTACCAGAAAAGGCTGCAACAATTCCTAACCAACCCCCCCCGCCTTGTGCGTGCGCAGTGCATTTCTCTTTTACCTACTGAACATAGAGCATCTTTTGTCTCATTCCATAGAGTTTATCTTGGGGTTTCATTTAGAAGAGATTTAAAATATATGTAAAAATATATTTTTGCCTTTGAAAGAATGGTATCTACCCAAGGTGATATTTATGATTTACAGTTTGGAGGTCAATATTAAGTTGAGAGCAGAAACTAGCAATAAGCCTAGCACAGAGGGAGGGCAGTTGCCTACAGACCACAGCTGGAGTGCCAAGATGTCACGCTCCTTTCCTAATTGCGTATTCAAAAATGAGAAGTATTATAGAAATAAGCTTTGAAGAAGTAGAGCTGCTCTTGATTACAGAGATGGCAATGACAATGGAAAATGGCAGAGTAGATCTGCTATTAATTTGCTATTATGATTACTTTAAAGCTGTAATAGAAGCTTCAGAAAATAGCATTTGGCCATTTCTTGTGACATCCCTTGAGTGGGAATGGAAACGCTCACAAAATTAGCTCATCTCAAAAGAGCTGTAGATCAGACTGTAGATCAGACCCTTGTCTCTTGAAGATAGAGTGGAGTAGGACAGCCTCGGCTTAGCCATCCTTGGAGGCCAGTGGAGGCTGCACTGGTGCTCAAACACTTCCCAGGAATTTCTCAAGCATGTAAGTGAAGATTAAATAAGCAGCTGATTTAAAGCAGTAGCTTGGCAAGTTAGCGATCCCAATGCATTTAATTCAGGATGTAGGTGTCTGCAAAGTGGTTTCGGCATCATCCACATGTTTTATTTAACACTGGTAGCATGAGAAGATTTTACCTTTTTTGCCAGACAGCAAGGCACATAGACAGAACCAGGAAGTCATTCAAACCCAAACCTCTGTGCCTCTAGCAATCTTTATTATCCCAGCTATTCCCTGAGAAAGAGAATGGGGAGATATAGCAAAGGCACTAAGAATTCCTTAAGTGCCCTGTAGTGATCAGTGCTTCTGTAGTTTCTACCAGCCCTGTCAACTGGGTTTCTTCCATCCCCTTCTGCCCTCTTGGTTGTGGAAACGTAAGAATTTTATGCTCAAGGACTTTGGTTACAGAAGAAATACAGATAGAAATCAAATGTCAAAGAAGGAATAGTAGCTAAAACAGTTCCAGTGGAGGTTTTTGTGGGCTTTTTAACTTTATTAATGCTTCCCCTATGGTACAGACAGTTCTTAAGCAAATGGTTTTATCACCTGGTACATTCTCACCATATGCAGTTCCTACACTGTGCATTTGGGGAGATGGACACAAATAAAAATAGATAGAGACACAGTAACACAGATGTCCTGAAGTCATAAATAACAAGGAAATGGTCTCACTGGCAATAAGAATCACAAGAAAGCCCTTGGAGCTCCTCATTTCCAGTCAGTTCATTTTTTTCTTGGTTGTGGGTTGGCTGCTTGGGAGATAAGAAGTTGACAGCACAAAAAGCAGTTCCCACGTACAGCAATGAATACTGAAGGAGAAGGCGCACCTAAATATCAGCCAGTTCCTGCAGCCAACAAGCTGCTGAGACTTGCCAACCCTCCAACCACTCTGTGAAATATTCAGCACATTCTTTAATCTGCAGTCAATATTTTAATTATGCTAACTGTTCTGTGGAATAATGCGGTTATTTCTCCCAGAGCCTGGTAGCCTGAGGCCAGGCCATGCAATTACATAGAGGATGTCTGCAAAATATAAACAGTCAAGAGCCAAATTGAGACTCTCCGTGTCAGCAGGGAGAAAGGAGCAACAGCTTAACTAGCTGTGTAATGCAGACAGATGAGGGACAGCCGTTATACAGAGTCAAGTGAGCACAAGCTTAACCCACAGCACAGCAACATAACCCTACGCAACACAGGGAGGCCAGGCTCTGCTTGGCCATCACTGCTGAGACAGACAAATTGGTCCCACACTGTCCCACAAGGAAATAGTCATCAGCTCTGCGGGGCCAAAGCATTTTGCTCTGACTGAAGCTTGTTGGCTCTTTATACAGAAATTACTTTCAAGTCCCTGCTGTACCCTATTGAGGGCAAAGGCTGGAGCTCCAGATCCAAAGTAAACCTTTCATGTATCACACAGTTGTAATCCGCTGTGTGTGTCAAAGGGGTGGAAATGAACGTGGCTGTGCCCCTGCTGGTGGTGCTGGGCCAGTGCTTCTTCGAGTGCTAGCTGGGGTAATTTCTAGAGCTTCTAACAGTGGTCAAGCGAGTGAATAGCTTGATGTCTGAGACATCCTAAATTGGATGAGGGGCGAGGTTCTATCCCGATGGGTATTTTTTTGCAGTACTGGGCTGCAGAATAAACCAGGCACAGAGAAGAAGGAAACAAACCATAATATTCATTACATTTGGCTGCAGGGTCTGACCCCTCAGAAAGTCTGAGCATCTGCAGCTTCTGTTTACATCAGCAGCAGTTGTGGTGATCACTGTTTCTGAATAATGCTCCATTGCTTGCTTCTTTAAAATATTGTGGTGACATGAATAGAATACTCTTCCTGTTAGTCCCTTCTCTATAGGAACTGTGCATGGATCGTGCAGTTTTTCTGCACATAGAAGCTCTCCCATTTACAGATATCAAGTCCTGGCTCTATCCCATCCAGCCTCCCCTAGAAGTGGGGCACGTTTGCTGGGAAAACTGTGAAGTTTGAGTCCTGGATGTGTGATGGAAGAGCACCCTATGCCTGCACATGTCTGGGTGATAACAGAGTTGTGAAACTGAGCATTGGGTTCAGGCAGTTGGGTCTATCTTCCTGTTTTTTTCACAACGAGCCGAAGAGTCTGTATAGCTTGATGCCTGGGTTGCTGATGATAGCAACTGAAGGCTGCGCTCTGCAGGCTGATGTTTAGCAGGTGGCAACATTGGGGATGCAGAGCCGAGCTATATTGACCTTGCCACAGAGAGAGGCTGGAAGAGACTGGGGATGCCCTCTTGTGAATACGCAAATTGCAGCAAGAAGTTTATGAGAAGATGAAAGGTGCTGAATTTTAATGTGCTGGGAATTTTGGTAACTTAAATTCATGGTAATGGAAGTTGTGCCTTGCTAAATCCTCTGTGTACACTGTTAGGAGAAGGACCACTGAAAATTCTGCAACCTGCAGGCAGTTTAAAAATAACACAGCAGACAAGAGCTGCAGGCAAATTTGTAAGGCAGGCGTGCTCTGTTTTCTGATGAATTGGTTTGTAATGCAGCTCTGCATGTTCTCCCCTTTGTTGTCATTGCATCTGTCTTTGCAACTCAGCTACAGAGTTAAAAAAGGAAAAAAAGGTTCCCTTTGGTCCACTGCAGAGGGCTAGATACAGTGAGTGGAATCAAAAT